TATGAAAGAAATAGAGTACATTAAAAACGAAATAACGAAACAGAAAGATCAAAAGACGATAAATTCTTTGTACAAGTTCTCTAAGAAACGAAATCCTCCATTCCATACGATATATTTCTTGAGGTTTTACTCTTTCACACATTTCGTACAAAGATGAATCCATTCATGTAACAAAAACACAATAAAAAATCTTCTCTACGCAGTAAATATCTTGACCTTATTTCTCTTTCAATTACGAACTAACAGGCATCCACGGACAACAGATGTCATCATCAATTTCTCCACCAATTCGACCTCAACCACCGTATTCGCAATCGCAACAACTTATCCGACCACAACAACCTGGAGCACAACTACGCCCCGGCGCACCACAACAACCAATTCTCCAACACCAACCTGGCGTCTACCAACAGCAAGCTGGAATACAACGACCCATCGCACCACAACACTCGACACTGCAATACCAGCCTGGCGGGCTACAACAACCCATTCTACTTCAACAACCGATTCTGCAATACCAACCTGTCGGCCAAATCCAGCCAGCTGGACTCCAAAGACCGATCCTACAATACCAACCAGGCATGGTACAAGGGCCAGGAGGACCACAACAACCCATTATAATATATCGACAACACGTGCCACTACAGCCAGGAGGACTACAACGACCAATACTACACTATCAACCCGGCGTACCACAACCATCAGTCAGACCACAACGTCCCGTTCTACAACAGCAACCCACCATGCCACAACCGCCCGGTAGTCAACAACGACCCAATGGGCTACAATCATTGATTATACAAAACCAACCTTCACTACAACCGCAGCAAATTCCACTACAGCGCCCCGCCGGACAACAACAACAATATCAGGCCGCTCGACGACTAGATAACGATCTTCGTCATTTATTACAATATTATCAACTAGACGACACAGATCTCCTTGAGATAGATGACGGACCAGCACATCGTGTAATATTAGTTCATCCCGAACGACCTTTACCTTTGTATATCCAACAAAACCAGAACATACTTCGACAATTACAAAATGCAGAACAACTTCAAACACAAGAAATAGACTTACTAAAACAACAAACAGAAGCCGATAACAAGAAGGTCGATCTTAAAAAAGACGATACAAAGGTCGAAATTACACATGAAGTGAAGACAGTGGAAGTTACACACGACGACAAGAAGCCTGAAGACAAACCAGATGGCAAGAAGGTGGAAGTCAAACATGAAGTGAAGACAGTGGAAGTTAAACCTGACGACAAGAAGGCTGAAGTCAAACCAGATGAGAAAAAGGTCGAAGTTACACATGAAGTCAAGACAGTGGAAGTAAAACCTGGCGACAAGAAGGCTGAAGTCAAACCAGATGAGAAAAATGTTGAAGTTAAACAAGAAGTCAAGACAGTGGAAGTGAAACCTGGCGACAAGAAGCCTGAAGTCAAACCAGATGAGAAAAAGGTCGAAGTTACACATGAAGTC